ATAGGTGAAAGTTTGTACCCTTTTATCAACCTCTTCCTATTTTACCCATGCCCAGCTCCTGGCAACAGCTTTTCTACTCCCTCTTTCTGAGTTTGTCTTTTTGTGTTTTTTTTTAGGATTCCACATGTAAGTGATACCATGCAGTACTTGTGTTACTCTGTCTGGCTTATTTCATTTAACATAATGCCCTCAGATTCCATCCATGTTATTGCAAATAGCAGAATTTTCCTCTTTCTCATGATGAATAATATTCCCTTGTATATACATACCACATCTTCTTTATTCATTCATCTGTGGATGGACACTTAGGTTGTCTCCATATCTTGGCTATTGTGAATAATGCTGCAATGAGCATGGGAGTGAGATCTCTTTGATACCCTGCTTTCATTTTCTTTGGATAAACACCCAGAAGTGGGATTGCTGGATCATATGGTAGTTCTATTTTTAACTTTTTGAGAAACCTCTCTGTTTCCCATAGTGGCTACACCAATTTACATTCCCAACAGTGCACAAGAGTTCCCTTTCTCCACATACTTGCCAACACTCCTCTGTCTTTTTACTGATAGCCATTTTAACATTTTAAACAGGGAAGGGACTTAATCCAATATGCATTCTAAAAAATCTCATTCTGGGTTCTGTGAGAATAGACTACAAGAAGGCAAAATTGAGAGTGAGAAAGCCACTGATAGGTGCCAGTTAGAAAACACTTGAGCCCTGGCCGGTTTGGCTCAGCGGTTAGAGCGTCGGCCTGCGGTACAGAGAGACCCGGGTTTGGTTCCCGCTAAGGGCATGTACCTCGGTTGCAGTTTGTCCCCGGCCCTGGTTGGTCGTGGGTGTGGCGGCCACTTGATGTGTCCCTTCACATCGATGTTTCTCTCACTCTCTCTCTCTCTCTTCCTCTCTCTCCCTCCCGCTCTATCTGAACAAAAAATGGAAAAATGTCCTCGGGTGAGGATAAAAAAAAAAAAAAAAAAAAGAAAACACTTGAACTCGTCCTCCTGCCCTGGCATGGTAGCTCAGTTGGTTAGAGAATTGTCCTGATACACCAAGGTTAGGGTACGATCCCTGGTCAGGACATATACAAGAATAAACCAATGGCCCAGCTGGTGTGGCTCAGTGGTTGAGCACTGACCCACACACCAGGAGGTCGCTGGTTTGATTCCCGGTTAGGGTACATGCACAGGTTGTGGGCTTGATCCTCAGTGGGGGGCATGCAGGAGGCGGCCAATCAATGTTCTCTCTAGTCCATGTTTTCATCTCTCTCTCCCTCTCCCTTTCTCTCTCCCTAAAAATCAATAAAGAAAAAAACAAAAAACAATGAATGCATAAATAAGTGGAACAAAATTGATGTTTTTCTCTCTCTGTCTTCCTCTCTCTCTAAAAATAAATACATAAACACAATATAAATAAATGACCTTGTCCTCCCAAGATTGGACAAAATCTTGGACAAATGATAGTGATGATGATGGGAAGAAGTGCATAGAATCAAAGGTATTTAGAAGATTATCAACAGGACTTACGGATGAACTAGATGTAAAGAGTGAGGGAGAAGAGGTACCAAGAATAACTTTCATATTTCTGACTCAGGCAGATTAATGGTGTCATTCTCTAAGGTTATATAGAAGGAGGAGCAGGTTTGGGAGAAAGATGCTATGTTCATTTTTTAGACATGCTCCCTTTGAAGCACCCTTGGACTACCCAGTGGCGATATCTAGGTCTGGAGCTCAGGAGAAGGCCAGGGCTGGAAATAGATTTGGGAGTTGTTTGAGCAAGGATGGAAAGTAGATCCATGTTGAGCTCACCCAGGGAAGGTGCAAAGAGTGAGGAGAGAGCCCAGAGCTATAGTGACAGGAAGAGGGTAGGTGGGAGAGAAGGACTGAGAGAGTAGGAAGAAAACTAGGAGGGTCATGGGACAACGGAGAGCTGACTTGCAACAAGAAGGAAGTGGTCGAAAAGTTGAACTTGGGAAAGAATAAAAATAACATTGCCTGAGCCAGTCAGTGATGAGCTTTTCCTTTGGCCACAGGGACTGGTTTTGGCATGGACATGGGACCACTGCAGACCACAGAGACACAAAAAGATTGGTAAAGAAAATTTCTGCCCTGGCCGGTTTGGCTCAGCAGTTAGAGAGTCACAGGTCAATTTCCGGTCAAGGGCACATACCTCAGGTGTGGGTTTGATCCTCAGCCCTAGTCGGAGTCATGCGGGAGGCAACCAGACACATCAATGTTTCTCTCTATCTCTCCCTCTGTTCCCCCTCCCACACTATGTAAAAAGAATCAATAGAAAAATATTCTTGGGTGAGGATTAAAAAACTAAAAAGTAAAATAAAATAAAAAGATTTCTTACTTCCAAGAGTTACCAAGAGACACTTTTATTGTTGTTGTTATTAATCCTTACCCAAGGATATTTTTCCATTGATTTTTGGATAGAGTGGAAGGGAGGGAGGGAGAGAGAGAAATATCAATGTGAGAGAGACACATCAACTGGTTGCCTCCCACAAGATTCCGACCAGGGCTGGGGAACTCAAATCTGCAACACAGTTATGTGCCCTTGACCAGGAATCGAACCCGAACCCTTTGGTGTGCAGACCAATGCTCTAACCGCTAAGCCCAAACTGGCCAGGGCACCAAGAGACACTTTTGCTGATGCTTTTCTTATTATCATCATCGTTACTGTCATTATTATCATTCCAGTTACTTGACTCCAAAGAACTTTGAATTTAGTGACATTGAAATGTATTAATCAATTAAACAAACACTTACTGGGAGTCTACTACGTACCAGGTACTGTTAGAGGAGTTGGGGATACAGCAATAAACAAGAGAGAAGAAGTGTCTGCTCTCATAAAACTTAAATTTTACTAGAGGAGACGAACAGTAAATAAATAAATTTGCAGTGTAAAGCAGTTATTCATATGGAAGAGGGAATAGGACGAAGAATATAATAGAAAGGAAAACATGACGGTGGGAGCTATTTTAAATAGGGTAAGGTGGTCAAGGAGAGCTTCACTAAGGAGGTGATATTTGAGCAGAGACCTGAACAGAGGAAGAAAGGAGCCCTGTGAACATCTAGAGCAATGCTGTCCAATAGATATATAATAACAGCCACATGTGGGTTTTCAAATTTTCTAGTAGCCACATTAGAAAAGGAAAAAAGCAAAGATCAGTAGTTTCCAGGGGTTATGGGGGAGAGAGGGATGCATAGGCAGAGCACAGAGGATTTTCAAGGCATGAAACTATTCTGTATGCTAAATACATGATCCCCTATCATACATGTGTCAAAACCCACAGAATATAGTCGATGTTCTCTCTCATCAATGTTTCTATCTCTTTCTCCCTCTCCCTCTCTCTAAAATCAATAAAGAAAAAAATTTAAAAAACACCATACAATGTACAATACTGAAAGTGAACCTTAATATAAATTATGGACTTTGGATAATACTGATGTATTAATGTAAGTTCATTGACGGTTCCAAATGTACCACTGTGGTGTGGGATGTTGATAGCAGTGTTGATAAACGGTGTACAGTTTATAGGTGGCAGGAGGAGGCATATGGGAACTCTCTGTATTTTCCTTCAGTTTTGCTGTGAACTTGTAAAACTGCTCTAAAAAATTAAGTATATCTATTTATAAACAATTTTTTTTCCTTTATTGATTTTAGAGAAAGAGAACATGAAAGGGAGAGAGAGATAGAAACATTGATGAGAGAACATCAGTTGGTTGCCTCCTGCATGCCCCCAACTGGGGATCTGGCCCACAACTTGGGCATGTGTCCTGGCTGGGAATCAAACCGGCAACCCTCTAGTGCATGAGTCGACGCTCAACCACTGAGTCACACTGTCCGGACTAAAAAAAATATATATATATATAAATACATATATATATATATATTTAATCCTCACCCGAGGACATTTTTGCACTTATCTTCAGATAGAGAGGGAGGGAGAGAGAGAGAGAGAGAGAAACATTGACATGAGAGAGACACACCACACAACCCCAACCAGGGCTGGGGACAAACTGCAACTGAGGCACATGCCCTTAGCGGGAACCGAACATAGGTCCCCCAGGTCCATGGGCCAATGCTCTAACCTCTGAGCCAAACCGGCCAGTGCTAAAGTATATTTTTTACAAAGTGAAAAGCAATGGGTACAATTAATTTTAATTATATATTTCAATAATATAGTTCAAATATCTGCATATTCAGTACTCACAAGCCTACATTTCTTTTATTTTTAATATGTCTTTGTTAATTTTTAGAGAAAGGAAGGAGAGAGAGAGAGAAACATGGGTGTGAGAGAGAAACATAGATCGGTTGCCTCTTGCACCCACCCCGACCAGGGATCGAACCCTCAACTGTGCCCTAACCGGGAACTGACCACTACCTTTTGGTTTACGGGACATCGTTCAATTAACTGAACCACATTGGTCAGGGCACAAGCCTACATTTCTAATATATCTAAAATATTATCATTTCAAAAGGTAGTCAGTACTTAAACCCATTAATTCTGTTTTTAATTCTCCCTTTTGTGTGTGTGTGTGTGTAAACTAAGTCCTCAAAACCTGTGTGCATTTTACTCTTGTAGCGCGTTACAGTTCAGAGTAGCCACATTTCAGCAGTCACACGTGGCTAGTAGCTTCCACATGGGTTGATGTAGACAAAGAACATTTCAGGCAAAGGAAACATTAAGTTCAAAAGTGCTGAGGCAGGAATGGCAAGAATACGGTTGTGCTTGAGGAGAGCCAGCAGGGACAGAAAGGAGTGAGGAGTGGGTGTGCGGAGTGGTAGGTGAGGCTGGTGAGGGACAAGGGCAGGAGCTAGACCCTGGTAGGTCTGATGCAAAGCAGTTTGGGAATCATTCTACGTGTGACTGGGAAACCATGAACGGGTTCTGAGCAGGGAACACATTCTGTCCCTCTGTGACATGAAATGCAGTGCAGATGTTCTTTATCATTATACTGTTTCTAATTATAGGGGAGGCAGTGAGGGGCCCTATATCCCTCTTGCCCAGCACAAGAAAACCAGCTATCTCTCCAATTTCACATTTGTGAACTAGAGGCCCAGAGACTAAGGAAGGCCTGCACCAGGGTGCACAGTAAGTCTTCTCTTGTTATTGCTAATGGGGCATGCGCAGGATCAGCGGACTTTGTGGGGATAGAAGCCAGGCCGGAGTGAGCTGAGGAGTGGGAAGGAGATGGTGAAGTTTGGCAGTGAAGGGAAGGAGAAATGATAGGGTAGCATTGTGGGATCCGGAGCTGAGCGTTGGTTGCTTGTTTGTTTTCAAGCAAGGAAAGACTTGAGCATGTTTGAATACTGATCTGAAGAGAGCAGTAGAGGGTGAGGGGGCGGGAAGGGCGGATCACGGGTGCTGTGAAGTTCCTGAAGAGGTGGCAGGGACCACTGGACAGTGGAGGAAGGCAAAGCGGTGGTGTAGGTAGATCTGGGGACCTGGTGGCGCAGGATTAGCTGCCTCTGTTCCAGCCTTCTACAGCCCCTGTCCTTCCACCATCTGGATTCCTGAGACCTGTGGCTGGCTCTGCCTGCTGCACTCTCCTCTCTGCTTGTCACTCTCAGGCCCCAGACCAGAGACGACCCTGTCAGGGGCTGCTGCCCACCATTTGCCACTTCTCCCTCCACTCTGAGATCCTGTGCTCCTGGGACTGCTGCCGACAACCTGCTTTTTTTAAACACTCTTCCTCTGCTATGCTCTTGTCCCAACTCCTAGATGCTGAGTCACTCTCCCTTCCAAGCCTTCTGCATGAGCCTCCTGGTCTGACATACAAAAGTGAAACATCTACCATGTGTTGAACCCTCAAATGCTTCCCAAATATCAGTCTATTCAGTCCCTACAACTCCGCAAGGAATATGCTGTCATTAATGATCCCATTTTACGGACAAGGAAATTAGGGTTCAGAAAGCATGTGTCTTGTGCAAGGTCTCATAGAAAATGCCTTAGGGAAGATTTGCCCAAGTCTGTAAGCTTCAAAAACTGGCATTCTGTGATGCCACACTGTCTTGTAGATGTCAGGAATAGAGCTAGACATTTTGCAGATGTTTCCTCGGGTGGGCAAAAGGACTGTGGGCATAAGCACCAGAAAATGGGACTCAGCCATGGGGATTGGTTCCACGGGAGAACCATAGAATGTAAGCCCTATGAAGGCAAGGCTTGTGCCTGTTTGGTCACTGCTATATTCCCAGTTCCAGAATAGTATCTGGCACATAATAGCGCACAATAAATGTCTATTGAATGAATGAATGAATGAACTCTGGCCTCTAAGAGGGCCTGATCAAAACACTAAGATGAAATCAGGCAAGAGTACAAGGCAGGGACCAAGAACCGGAACTGGCCCAAGTTAAGGCTTGTTTATAAGAAAAAGACAAAGGTCCAGGATTCTTCCCCAACCCAGTTGGAGGGATCTCATAAGTCAAGCCTAAACCGTACAAGACATTGCATTTCTTGAGCACAATAATCAATTCAGAGAAAAACACATAAACAGCTGCTTTATTCTACATATGATTCCATTATATGGATGTATTATAATTAATTTCACCAGTATCCTATGAATGGACTTTTAGGTAATTTCAAATTTTTTGCTATTACAAATAATGCTGTCTTGAATAACCTTGTATAAATGTCAATTCTCACAGATATGTCACATCTGAAATATAAATTTCTAGATGTGAAATTTTTGAATCAAAAAATGTATGTCATTTCTTGCCCTAGCTGGTTTGGCTCAGCAGTTAGAGCGTTGGCCTGTGGACCGAAGGGTCGTGTGATTGATTCCTGGTCAAGGACCCACTGGGGTTGGGCAGGAGGCAACCAATTAATGTGTCTCTTTCACATTGATGTTTCTTTCTCTCTCTCTACCCTTCCCTCTTTCCATTCTATTTAAAAATTAATTTAAAAATATCCTTGCATGAAGATTAGCAACAACAAAAAAAGGTATATGCATTTTTAATCTTCATAAATATTGCCATATTGCCCACCATTGAGGTTGTACCAATTTATACTTCCTTTCAACATGTGTTAGTTGATCTGCTTATCATATTCAGGCCAAAACACTGTTGCCAAAATTTTTGACCCTTGATAGTCTGATAGGAGAAAAATGAAATGCCACCAAGAGTAGTTTACACTACTTTAAAAAAATTTTTTTTTCTCTATTGATGTTGGGGGGGGGGGGTGGAGATAGAAACATCGATGAGAGAGGACATCAATTGGCTGCCTCCTGCTTGCCCCCACTGGGGATTTGGCCCACAACTTGGGCATGTACCCTGACCAGGAATCAAACTGGTGACCTCTTGGTGCATGGGTCAACGCTCAACCACTGAGCCACATTGGCTGGGCTACACTATTCTTATTATAAATGAGAATGACCATCTTTTCATGGATCTAAAATGTTGTTTTTTAAAATCCTACTACTTTTTTTTTTTTTAATCCTCATCCGAGGACATTTTTCCATTTTTTGTTCAGATAGAGAAGGAGGGAGAGAGAGGAAGAGAGAGAGAGAGAAACATCAATGTGAAAGGGACACATTGATTGGCCGCCACCCGCACGACCCAACCAGGGCTGGGGACAAACTGCAACCGAGGTACATGCCCTTAGCGGGAACCGAACCCAGGTCTCTGTGGATCGCAGGCCGACACTCTAACCGCTGAGTCAAACCAGCCAGGGCGCATTTTCTTTTAATGTAGCACTTTTTCAAGGTCAGCCTCTCCTTTTTTATGGCTACTTAGTATGAAATTTATTCTATGCAGTAATTTATTTTACTATTTGCTCTTTGACACTTTGATGATTTCCAATTTGTTAAACTGAAACAATGCTACAACAAATTTTCTTCTACATGTGCTATTATTTCTTTAGGCTTATTCCTATAAGTGGTCTTTGGCTGCTTTAAATCATAAACTGGTTTGAAGCTAAGTAGGTTGGTGTGGGATGGGAAAGGCTTCAGTTTAAGAATTTTATCTACTGTCTTCAGCACATAAAACATACCCACTTACCAATTTGTTCTTAAATCCGAACTTCCTTCATATCATAAATTGCTCTGCATCCCCCTGAACAAATGACATTACATCAGTGGTCAGGGCACATACAAGAATTAACCAATGAATGCATAAATAAGTGGAACAACAATTCGATCTTTCTTTCTCTCTAAAAATCAATCAATAAATTTTTTAAAATTATGCCATTAGGTTGGAGGCCACAATCTCTATATCCTCTCCAACAGGCTTTTATTCACCTTCATTTAGTAAACATTTACCTATTTCTATTTCCTATCAGATGTTGGGGAGGTAAGGGAACCCTTGCATTGATGTGCTTAGTAACAGATGTTGATTTGCAAGATATTGGGTGGCAAAGGGTAGAATATTTCAGTGTTTGGCTTAGAAAAACTCAGGCTGAAAACTGAAATAGTTTGTCTGCTCCACATACTTTGGTTGTTGTTGCTTTTAACTTAAAAAAAAAAAAACTTTATTGAGATATAGTTTACATGCAATAACATGCACCCATTTTAAGAGTCTGGTAAGATGAGTTTTGAGAGCTATAACCACAATAAAAAACAGAACATGCCCATCACCCACAAAGCTCCCTTATGTTATTAATCTTTTTAAAAACTTATTTTGAAATAATTATAAATTCCCAGGAAGTAGCAAAGACAGGTCTCGTGTACCCTTCGCTAGTTTTCCCCAGTGGTTACATCTTACATAATTACAGTGCGATACGAAGAGCAAGAAATTACAATTGTACAATGTGAATAAATAGCTCTGTGTCATGTTATCACCTCTCAATTCCGGCAACCACCACTGCAATCAAGATGCAGAACTGTCCCGTCACCACAAAGAGCTCCTTCACGCTGCCTCATGTCACACTCCCCACTCCTCCCACATCCCTTTTCCCTGGCAACTACTAATCTGTATTCCATCTCATAATTTTGTCTTTTCGTTAGGCAGATGGAATTATACAGTATGTGACATATCGAGATGGCTTTTTTTACTCAGCCCTTGAGATCCATCTAAATTGTTGTGTATTAAGTTTGGTCCCTGTCATTGCTGCATAATATTCTATGATATTTGTTTCCTAGAGCTAACAAATTAGCACAATCTTGGAGGCTTCAAAACAACAAAAAAGTATCCTCTCACAGTTCTGGAGATCAGAAGTCCTAAATCAAGGCATCGGCAGAGCCACACTCCCTCCAAAGGCTCTAAAGGAGAATCCTTCCTTCCCTCTTCCAGCTTCTGTAGCTCCAGCCATTCCCTGGCATATGGCTGCATCACTCTAATCTCTGTCTCCATCTTCACATGGCCTTCTCCGCTATGTCTGTATCTTCTTTTCTATTTCTAATAAGGACACTTGTCATTGGATATGGGGCCCACTCAAATAAACTGCCAAGCCAAACTGACCAGAACTCTATGATCATTCTTGACATTGGATACAGTGATTCCTCTCACTTTATTCCTTGTTTTAAACATTGTTTTAGCTATTCTAGTTCCTTTGACTTTACCTATATATTTTAGAATATTATCTATACCTACCTAAAAAAGCTTGCTGGGATTTTAATAGGAATTTCATTACTCTTATATATAGATTTGGGTAAAATTGACATCTTTACTATGATGAATCTTCCAATCCATAAACACAGTATATCTCTCCATTTATTTAAATATGCTTTGATTTTTTTTCAAAAGCATTTTGTGGTTTTCACCGTATGAATCTTGTGCATGTTTGATTTATACCTGTGCAATGTTTTTTTTAAATCCTCACCTGAGGACATTTTTGCATTTATCTTCAAACAGAGTGGGAGGGAGAGAAGGAGGAAGAGAGAGAGAAACATCGATGTGAGAGAGACACATCAACAGGTTGCCATCCACACAATCCCAACCAGGGCAGGGACAAACTGCAACCAAGGTACATGCCCTTAGCGGGAACCGAACCCAGGACTCTCTGGTCTGCAGGCCAATGCTCTAACCACTGAGAAAACTGTCCAGGGCTATACCTATGCCATTTTTAAGTGATTGAAAATGGTATTCTATTTTTATTTTTATTTATTTATTTTTTATCCTCACCCGAGGACATTTTTTCATTTTTGTTCAGATAGAGTG